AAAATGTTATGATAAATCACAGAGAAAAAAAATGTGACAAAGAGTGTGTATATGTCCTTGACTGACTGAAAAATTGTGCTGAACACTGGAATTTGACACAACATTGTAAAATGATTATAAATCAATAAAAAATGTTAAAAAAAATAAAGTTTTTTCTATGTAAAAAAAAAAGACAGGAGGCTCCCACCCAGACTAAAAACATAAATTATATATGCTATTCTGTGACCCAATAATGGAGCAGCCTAGATACAGAAGAAAAACAACTAACCTGTAATTCAGTAGCTATTGAGCTCCTATTGTATATCTTTGTTGCAAAGGACAGAACACCAACTTTAACTTAACAAAACAGTGAATTTATTGGTAATTGGGATTGATCATCCCAGCCAGTTTAGTAGATAAACTCTTTCTTCGCCCACTGGCTCAGTGTCATGAGGAGCCCAAAGTAGCCAGGTCTCAGTCTCCACTTCCAGCTCTACTGTGTGGTTGTGGCTTCCTGGGGAAAGCATTTCTCCCTTTGAAATCAAGACTTCAAAACAAGCTAAGCCCAAAGCTACAGGGCCACGAAGGAAAAATCATCCGAGCGGGTTATCGGGGATGGTAGTGAAAGGAGCTTCTCCCACATTCACCCTCTGGATTCCCAGATCCGTATATTCTGGCTGTGGTCAAATAAGACCCAGGCTATGATGGGTAGTTCAGGTTACCTGTCTACTGAGGTCAGGAATTTACTCTACCAAGGCCCAGTAGGAAGCCCAGAGCTGTTTCTTAAATGGAAGTAGTTCTTCGCATAAAAAAGGTTTTTCTTCAGAACTGTAAGGGTCTATGCCCGGATGACTAGTCTCCACAAGGCATCTTTATTTACCACAGACACTTGCTAGGTCCTAAAGCTCCGTCTCAGAGCATCTGTGATGCTGCCTGGACCCCTGGCAGTCTTCTCTTGCTCTGGGCTCTTTGCAAAACTGTCAGCCAATAGATTAATAAATAGGTCAGAGCAGCACACTCAAATGTTGTATACTGCTTCCAAGATCCAAAGAGGCCCCGAATCATTGTGCCTCTTTAAAGGCAAGGGTTACAAGATGCAGCAACTTTTCTTTCACTTTGGAGGGCATATCCCCATGTTCTCCAAACCACTAGACTCCAAAAAATCTCAAAGTATTTTCTTGGAGTTAATTTCTCATCCTCTGGCTTGCATGTGTCTTTCTAAGGCTTCTAAGATACTAACTACTTCTTGCTTATCTGGTCCAATCAGCAGGCTGTTATCAACGTAATGCATCTGTGATGTCCTTTGGAATGTTAAGATGATCAAGATCTCTCCAGTCTATAATATGGCAAATAGCAGAAGAGATGACACAATCCTGAGACAACATTAGGAAGGTGCCCTGTCAACAGCGTGCCTCACGGGTAAAATCAAAAATATTGTCAGATCAAAAACTTGCATACAGTGTGCCAGGGGCTGTGTTGATTTGTTCCAATAAAGATACCCCAACTGGAACAGTGGCTGCAACTAGAATTACCAATTAATTTAGGTTTATGATAATCCATATTAATTTTCCAAAGTCCCCCCACCTTCCACACAAGCCAAATAGATGAGTTAAATGGGCATGTGATAGAAATCACTACCTCTATATCTTTCAAGACTTTTTGATGCTGATCTCTGAAATCCTCCCTCCACCCCTACCAAGGATGCAATATTGTTTTTGGCTTAATGTCCCTGTAGAAAGGGGAAATTCCATATTAGTTCTCAGTCCACAGGTCAGGGACCTAATGACGATTCTGTCAATTGCTGAATGTATCTATGCCAATTATACATTTAGAGACGAGGGACGGACCGCAGAGAAGGGTCATGGGCCCCACGTGAGATGAAGATTGTCCAAAACTCCATTTATCATTTCATCATCATTAACCTTTTCTTTGACTGGTAAACTACAGTGGCATTTTGAGTCTGCAAGATTTAGCAAAAATTAAGATTCAGTATCAAGTTCCTCCCCGAAGGGATGTATATTTCCTTAGTTTACAGTCACCCTGGTGAATGGCTATACATCCCCTTGGGGAAGGCTTGGGAGCATGTTTACAGTATACACTTGAGTGTATCTGTGGCACTGTTGCAGATTTCTTCCTCAAGAGGGCCAACAACCCCCTGAAGTCATGTGTTTTCAGGTATGTGAACTGGCCAGAGTCTGGGAAACTGAGTGAGAGAGCACGGCTCTCCAATGCAGAGACTGAAGTCTGGCTTCTGGCCACTGGATCTAGTCTTTCCTGTTACATAGACCAAGTAGTATTTTAGTATGCTGCCCATCGACTTCCTCACCAGGAGCATTGTGATAAAGTAGCTACCAACAAAAATGTCCGTGAACAAAGTATTCCGATTACCACGATGAATGCGAGAGAAGGAGGAGGATATTTGACTGTCACCATTGTCATCTGGCACTGGCTTCCTCTGGTCACAGCTGATGTTTAAAGCTGGTTTTCTCTAGACTTGACCTTCCTCTCAGGAGTACTTCTGTGGCTTCCTTAGAGACCAATGTGGTAACGTATGGTTGCATTTTCTTCTGGATGGCTGTTGATTTCCTCCCTCCCTCAATCTAGGGGCATTTCAGGATCTATCTGTCTTTAGGGCTGCCTTCCCCTTCTGATCTATCTTTTTAGACCATCCCTCTGCCCCTTGTGCCCATATCTGGCCTATAAGAACATGTATGTATCAATGCCCTTGCTTTTGGCAAAAGCACAGTTGGCTCCAAATGCACCTCACACCTCTCTCTCTCCTCCCATCCTCTCCTCTGCTTTCCTCTTCTCATCCATCCCACTCTATCTCACATTTAGACTCTGCAGGTGTCTATCAGAGGAAGCCACATTCAAATTATCCAATTAATTTTCCTATAAGTTATCTTACTGAACCCCCGCTTGTTAGACTTGCTGAGTTTGGGACTTCAGGTGAAACTCAGGTAGAGAACCCATTTCAACAATTTGTCACGTTTGCAGAGATGACTACACCTGCGTGAATTGTCTCCGGAAGGGTACACAAGAACAGCGACCATATGGGGACAGAAGTGGGACAGAGATTTAGTTTTCACCATTTCCTACTGTTTGAATTAATTTCTTATGCATATGTTTTAGCAATTTGAAAAATACAAACTAACCTATCACATTTTAAATTAATTTGGGGGGGGGTTAATTAGGTTTTTATTTACTTTATTTATTTTAATGGAGATACTGAGGATTGAACCCAGGACCTCATGCATGCAAGGTGTGCACTCTACCACTGAGCTATATACCCTCCCCACTTTTAATTAACTTTTTTAACTGACCTCCTTGCTGCTGACCTCACTGGACAGTTTTCTCAGACAGAGACATTCAGAGTCCCAACTCAGGGGCTCTGTGGTCTTGGGAAAAGTTGTCAGTGAGCCGGAAAAGCCCACTACTGGCTTGAGGAAGCCCCTATGTTTTCTAGCGTCAGTAACCCATCTGCCAGACGTTTGCCCTCCCATCCTCTCTGAATTCCAGGAAGTCAATCCATCTGCCATATCAAAGTGTGACAGAACACCTTTCTCAAGCCTGAAGGACACTGCCATTCCTCCCTGCTCCTAACACTGTGCAGGGCGGGCCGTGCTGTACTTTCCAAGACCCACGTCCCCCTCCAGATCAGATGGTGCAAGCATCTGGGGTGGGAGGGACCTGAACGTGTCTCTTGCTCCTCAGCCAGCCTCCTCTGAGCCCCCTACTCAAGTTTCTGCCTCAGCGAGTTCTCCCTGGAAGTCTTTAATTTAACCTCTCTACATCTCAGATTCTACCTTATATAACTGGAACATTATAAATAGTATATAAAATACGTGTATAATATCATATGTGTATTATATATAGCACTTACATCATAAAGTTCTTGTGAAAATTAAATTGGGTAATCCATGTGAAGAACCTAGCTAGTGTTAAAGTGCTCAAAACTGCTACATATTATTATTATTACTTTAAACCGGAGTACACAAATGGCCCCAAATGATCAACCAGGTCAGAAATTAGGGAACGTGTCCTTATCATCTGCAACACGGGCAGTGAAAGGCAAATCTCTCAAATGCGCTTGGGGTGAGCATGCACACACATACACAGCTTCCTTGAACTTGAGCCCCTTTACGGCAAAGGCCAGTTCGTGTGAGGTGCGGTGGTGGGGAGCAAGAGGCCTCCCACGTGGGCATGGCCTTGGACGCGCAGACATTGTGCAGTTTATACTCTTTCTGATTGATCTCTCTGGCTGCCGGCAGGTGGATGGTTGGGAGGGTGGAGTTAGCGGTCTGTGATAGCTTAGCATTTTCTCTTCACAAGGGGCCTAGAGGCTAGGGGAGGAATCTGGAGAAGCTACAAAGATAACCCAGGGCTGCTTTGAACATCTGAACCAAAAGCCCTTCTGAAGCCAAGAGGAGGGGCAGCAACATCGATCTTTAAGTTCTTCAGAGCTGGAGCCTCTGACATGGGCTGTGCTGAGGGACCTAGCCTCTAAACTCCACACAGAAGTTAGTCAGAGATCTCCCAGCCTAGCTTTGCTGGGGACCAGATACAAAAATCCCTCCTAAAACAATCAGCCTTCAGCGTCCTGAGCAGGCCCTGGTGTGGTCAGAAACGTCAGTGGAGTCACTTCCAGGAAGCTCTTTAGCCTGTTCCCCAAGGCATGAGACCACTGCCAGGGCTGGGTTGACAGATTGCCCAGGGCGAGAGTCAGCTGATACCTTACCTTCTCCCCAGGGTCCTCCACAGGTGAGAGAGGTCGGAGCTGACACAACCACATCCCACCAATAGCCTCGCCCCGTCCCCTCTGGGAATGATACATAGAAACAGTTGGCTCCAGGCTATGAGGAAGATGGGACTTTTTCACGGGCTTCTGCCTGAGAAACTCTATTCAGCTTAGAGATTTGCTTATTGAAACCGCTGCCCCACACCAACAAATGGTCTCTCAGGGGCAGTGCCATCCACTAATGCATGAAACACCTCTGCGGGTCTGTGTACCCCCAACCTCTAATTCCTACCAACTGGCTATCTTGTTTGGGAACCATCTGTGTATCCCTAAGGAAGCAAGGTATCAAATACCTGCCACTGAATCAGTACTGTCGACTGAGGCCAAAGCTTTCTTTCCAAGTTCACGTCTGCACTTTGCTTTCCATGAAGTCAGTGGGCCTGGGGATTGAGCATAGAATGATTTGACAGTGGGGCTGATGGACTCCAAGTGCCCAAGGCTTGGGGGAGTGAGTGGTGATAATTGTGCATCCTTTTACCCTCAATGCCTGTCAAAGCCTTGGACCCACTGTCAAAGCCAGATGCATTCTTCCATGATGCTCAAAAACTCTCAAGTTTCACTTTTCTGGAGAACAGAGGTAAAGGGTTCCCTTTATGGTGTAGTCACACTACCCCCTGCTGGACAGAAGGCAGCATGACAATGAGGTCCCCATGATAAGCATTTGTAGACATTTGCCAAGTCACTGTGGGCAAGGCACCAGGTATACAGTAAAGACACAATACATGTTAGTCATTGTTACTGTTGTAGCGTAGTTGTTGTCATTGTTGCCAGTGCTGTCAAACAGTGAGCAGCAAGGGAGGTTAGTGTGGGCTGAGAGGAGTAGGGAAGAAGGGGTCCGGAACAGGCCTCAGATAAGGGGAACTTAGAAAAGCAAAAGGGGTACCATGAGTCAGGGCAGAGCTGGGCCATATCAGGAGAGGCAGCAAGACATGCTCTGCTTCCTGACTCTGCCTTGGGCTGTCACTTTTACCAGATAGAGAGCTTCTGCAGGTGTGAGCCCTCTGCTCAGGGCCCTTCCTCAAAGTCAGAGGGTAAGGGGCCACAGCAGGACCTCCCACCTCCCCCTGCCGGCCCAGCCAAACCAGCCAGAAAGAGCACTGTGGGTGCTGCATCTCCTCAGCCCTGTTCCAATAGCAGATCCTCTGCAAACACGGCTGTTTCCCACACTGCAAACATTTGCTGAGCTGGTCCAGCTTAATTTCAGCTGTCACAGACCAAAACCTCCAGTGAGCTACCATGACCTTGCTATTTTCATTTTCATCAAGATAAGAAAATGCCAAGATAAGTAATTGTCACAGTTAATAATTTAACAATGCAATAGACCTTGTAATTAAAAATAAGCAGAAGGCGGCCACAATGTGATTGTAGTAACGTTTCAAGGACCAATTATAGAAAAGCTTCCTCTCACTGTGCGGAGAGTGTGAGAAGGGAGGAATCAAACTCATTAGGGCTCAGAGCAGTTCATGCACCATGAAAACCTGGTTCTCCAAGTCTGGTCTATCAGAAAACTTCGGATACGTTTGGCCAATACTGGCTCACAGCTTCATATATTTTCCCTATTAATTGATGTATCTGTTTGTAGTTTTCTTTTTTTTTTTTTTTTTTTTTTTTACCTGAGTCACAAGTAATTGTGAACTCCCCTTCTCTGTCTGTCCCTGCCACTCCTCCCCTTCGGGCACATTCCTGGAGAATCCAGAGCACTATTTCTAAGTCTTGGTCCCATTACTCCCTCAGTTAATGTTACAACCAAACAGCTTACTTGTTTTGTACAATAGAGCAGGTTATAGAACAGTGTCCTCTTTCTTGGCTAGCATTCACACCTGCTCTCCTGAGAGACAAGAGCCGGCGTTATAACTAATAACCCAGGAAAGCGGTAGCGCAACTTCTGGCGACCCCTGGTGGTGGCACTGACAAGGTTCCCTCTGCTCCTCAGGGCAGGCTCCAGCCTCCTGAGTCCGCAATCCCATTTCAACCACAAAACAGAGCATACCACGTAGTCCACCTACTTCCACCTAGAGAACTCTTCTAAGCTATCTTATCCAGGCCTAATTGTTTTTTTGTATTTTTAAGTCAACACATTTCTATCACAAATAATGACTGTGATAGCATAGATTTTCCTCCCGAAAAAAAAAAATCTGTTTCCTCAAAAATCTAAGCCTGCCAATGGAGGGGCACCACATATGTGAGGACCATTATCATGCCCGTGACAGTGGTAAAAGGGAGAAAGGGCTGTGCAGTGTGGTGGGTGGGGCAGAGGAGAGAGGACGGGGAATCCAGGACAAGGAATAGCCAAGGGCATTGTCCAGGCACACAGCCCCAGATAGTGTCTGACCCCAAAATGGATGCTTTATCCAACAATGTGGCCAAGAAAACCTCAAAACTACACCAGCAGGCAAGAAAACCCTGCCTGCCTTCCGTTATTCTATGACTCCAGGCACCTAAGCCAGAAGACTCACAATGACCGAAGAAAGAAAGAAGTCACAGCTATATTTATAAAACTAACTAAAGGAAGCCCAGAAATCACCCTTGGAAGCCTAGGTAGTCTCTGCAGTCATAGGACCATTAGACCCTGCAGAGACCTCCCTTCAACAGAAAGTGAATTTTCAGAGAAAATACCAAGAATTTATCTGAGGGTGGTGGACTCACTTATCCAAAGAACACAGACCCACAATGTTCATCCTAGCCAGCAGTCTTCCGGCTCCAGAGTCAGGCTCATGGCACCTAGGATAGAAATTCCCCTGTTCTACCTACCAGAAACCCACCTACAGAGTGAGGGTTCCAGGAGGGCAAGAATGGACGATCCAGTCCAGGAGTAACCCAGGGATGAAGTCCATGCCTACTCCTACATGTGGGCTGGTCTGCCTCAAACTCGGATATCTATTTCTTGGAGAAAGGAGGAAGAGGAGGGAAATCAGGAGTCCTCGGCCTCCAGAAAGGCTGGAGCCTGTCCAGTCCTTCAGCTGTGGAAACGCAGATAGGTATGGGCTTCTGAGAGGTCCTGTTCTAAGAGTGTGGGGGTGGGTAGAACACAGCCAGAGGTCCCCCTCAAAGCAGTGCCCCAGCTTCCAAAATGAAATCTCTGGATCCTTTTCCAGAAAATAAGTTCAGTTTATATGCTCTTTTCTTCAAACAGAAATACGGAAAAGACACGTTCAATGCAATTTTTTCCTTAATTTTCTTTGAAACCAAGATTTGACCCTAGGAGCCAGCTCAAGTCCTTGATGAATATTTGTCTCACCATGTATCCCCTGGTACCAGCACAGGGCCTGGCTCAGTACAGGCAGTCATCAAATGTCTGTTGAATGAATGAGCTGTCTGTGGGCTTCTGGAGCAGGGTGAGATGCCAAGCTTCATATCCCTTTACAGGCGTAGCATGTCTCAGAGTTTCTCTGTTTTAATGTTTGACTTGGCTATGCCTCCTTCCTAATGGGCTGAAAGATATCCCTTGTGTGTCTGCCTCTGCTGGAACATGGTTTACAACGTGGCTTTCTGCC